TGTGGAACCATTAGTCTCCTAGAAGGAAAGAGTTGACTGCAAAATACCTCTGCTTCCCTTCCCCCTTTTTCCTCTCTCTGCATTTCTTCTTTGGTTGTGGGAATTTTTAAGAATGATATAAGTGAGTTGTTTGTACTCTTCTTTCTTGGAAATGTGAAAATTTTAAATAGAGACTGAAGGATGAATGAAACTGGCTGATGAATGCTTTTCTATTTAAAGAAATGGCTGCTTTAATTTTTCATGAGATCTTTAAATGGATTTAAGATGTTTCTAGACCACATCAAATTGCCTTTAAATTTGATTGTCAGCTTGAGTCAGAGTTAATTTTATTATTCCAAGTTTTGAACCCTAACCCTCGCCTGTGGAAGAAATAACATTCTTTTCCCTTCTCTGGTTGCTGCTGCTTCCTTCTTCCTTGTGAGAGAACAGCCCATGGTGCAGTTTTGGGCTCTCTCTCATCCTTTCTTAGCTTGAGATTCTATTACTTCCCACTTTCCCAATCATGTATGTTATACAAAACTGTGGAACTTGCCATGTTTGGGTTTTCCTCTGTCTGAGCTTCAAACCGTATTTCCAGTTGTTTATCGTACATGTTCCCTTGGCTTTCCCACCGGCCCCTCCTTGCCTGTTATTTCCTTGCTGATTCATTATTGTCCTATTTTCCTAGACATAAAACCTGGGAAATATTTCATCTCATCTGTCTCCTTCCTTCCATGTCACCTAGGACCGCATTCCATGGATAGTTCCCTTTCGATTGTTTTTGCATCCATATGTATTAGGACATGAGAGTTTTACAGTCATCACAAAGTTTAACCCACACAAGTTTTGTGCTGTTTGACGTAGAAGCACAGCTGCAGATTGCCATGGTACTTAGGAGTGTCAGGTCCTTGTTGTGTCACTTGAGGTATCATCTTTGGCCCCTTGTGGAGATGACTCACTACCACAGATGCAGTCCAGTGTGCGGAAAGACAGAAGGAGGGAGCAGAGGCTGCTGCCCTTTCTGTCAGGGTAACCTAGAAGCAGAATATGTCACTCTGCTCCTAACTCATGTTGAGTGGCAGGGTCTTTTGCATGACCATACTTGAACTTAGGAGCATGGGGGCTTGGTAGTGTGGTGGACAGTTGTGTGCCCCGGGGGTGTCTCGTGTCTGGAGGAGGACAAAGGAGCTTTGGCAGCCAACTGGCAGTATCTGCCATGGCTTCTGCCCCTGGATTTTGCAATCTTCGCTCTTTGTTGGGTCTTTATTGCCCATGGCCAAGATCACTACAGACTTGGCTGGATTTGCTTGCTCAGTTAATCCACCCATTCTTTTTTTTCAAGAATTATTTCAACTTGTTTGAAACCTTGTTAAACCCACAGCATAAAGTTTGTCTCAGAGCTCTTTAAGACATGGTCCTACTCTTCTTAGTTCCAGCCTTCGCTCAACTTTCATCATAACTTGTTTGTTCAATTCGTAAACACTGGTTAAGTGTTTATTGTGTGTTGGACACAGAGCCAGTCAGTTTCCTAAGCAGTTCATGTGGGATCTGTGGCTAAAAAGCATCCTTGAATACGATGCATACGGTATCATCACAGAGCACCCCTTTCGGGTGGTTCTCACCACTGTCACGCGTGAGAGGTTACGTCTTCTGAGGAGCAGTCACTGAAGGTCCTACAGTTGAAGTATTTAATTTGCTTTACAGAGTCCCATGTGGTCCACCTGCCACATTTCAATTTTCGTATTTTTATATAACAGTAGTTTTCTTTGAGCAACAAAATGGTAAAGAATTACCCACTGAAGCAGCCAGCTAGAATTAGTACCTCTCTGAAAATGGAAGATGATTGAATGCAAGCTGAGCCTAAATCTTAACTCATGCCCTGCAATTGTCTTGTTGCTTATTTGTTCTCAAACAACTTAAACTAATTCCCAGTCCCACAGGACCGATGTGTAAACATCTTTATAGCAGAACACACCTCTGACCAGGCTTGACTTCGAAGCAATGTTTCCTTCTCCTACAATCTGAGATGTTAGGAATAGAAGTTTACATAACTAATCTGTCACGATTTTTGTATTCGAATTTAAATTTTCAGGGAATTTGCAAGACAAGGTGAGATATATGAATCTATTATACAAACTCAGGGCCAAATATGCATTTGAAGTTTTGATCTTTTATTCATCATGGGTTGTTTGCATACATTTTGATTTTTAAAATATATTATGTTCAGATACTATTTATCATGATTTCTGAATTGTTGGGCACCTCCTGAAGTTTTTTGTTGAAGGCCTGATGGATTTTCCTTTCATATGCATATTATTTGAATACTGATATGGCTGTGTGCTTGAGTAGTAATAACTTACAAACTAGAAAGCATGTATTTGGAAGCCAAAATAAATATTCATTACTTTGCCAAACTCTAGAAGCAAAAAATCCAATCTGCTTATGGTTTACGTATCTACACCTGACTCAGATCACATACACAAGGAAGCCAGTCCTTGAAAATGAGGCAAGGGCACCGGAAGGGAAGATGAACGAGGATCCTGGGTTCAAATTTTAAGTGACCTCCTTGGATTTTGCCTTGAACTGACTTCTCTTGTTCCAACTCCAACCTAGTAAGCACAGCTCTAAAACGATAGCATGACCATGTAGTCATCAGACTGTCCTAATTAGCTTTATTGTCCTGAGTCACGCTACCCAACAGTCACAACTTAGAGGAAGAGAGGTTTAATTTAGCTCACTTTTTAAGGGGATTCAGTCCAGGGTTAGTTGGCTCCAAGACAGAGACATTATGGGACAAGGGCGTGGTGGAGCAGAGCTGCTTAGTTCATGGCAGCACAGAAGCAGAGCAGAGGAACTGTACTGCCAGAAGGGAAGGTGCCCAGGAGGAGACCCGACCCCAGGCCACGCCTCCAGGATAGGACCAGAAATGTGCCCCACCCATTCCGGTGGATCCCAAAGCCAATCAAGCTGAAGCTCCGCTCATACCCCCCCCACTCAAACTGTACCCCAGTCCGGGTAAGGAGAGGAGGAGGTAGGTGAGAAGGTAGAGCCTTACTCCTTGCATCCTGTGGTATCCAAGCAGTTCTGCTTGTTTCTGTCTTGTACATTGTTCTGGTACAAATGCTACAGCATTTATTTTGAAAGAAAATATTTTTCAGTCAAAAAGTTTAAATACAGTGGACTGATGATCTTCAGGATCTCTGCTTTATTAGTTTTTCCTCTATGATCATTTTTTCGTTGATTGTTTTTCTCCTCCGGTCCTTAGTTTTTTACATCTGGTCTGCCAGATAAAGGTTTCAGTGGAAGGGAAACAGCCTCATTATGAGGGCAACAGCAAGAAGCGGTGGGGAAGCTGGTGTGGGAATGAGGTTAGAAGACCCACTTTTGATTTGAAAGGTCCTCCAAGGTGCCAAAATGTGTGGTCAGGCAGCTCCACGTCTGAGAAACACCTCATGCACCTTGACATCAGCAAATTATCTATCACATTTCTCCTAGCGCCTGTGAAACACTGCTAGGGAAAAGACGAGTGACTCACAGTCCGTGTCTTCAAAAGGTTTAAAACATCTGTGTGAGGCAGGTAGGCAGATGTGAATCAGAGATTTTAAAACGCACATGTAAATGTGATCTAGTGTGTTTCGGAGTGCAGGAGGGTACCCTGAGCTAGCAGAGCAGGGCGGAGAAGGCCTTGGGGATAGGACTGCCCTCTGACCCAGCTCAGAGAGACAGATGTCAGCCAGGGTGGAGAGAAGATTGTGGACAAGAACTTCAGTCCAGTGTGGCAGAAACGAGGGCTCTGTTGGCTGGGCGCCACCCTGTGCTTTAGGGTGGTGCATGCCTGGCTGTGGGGAGGGTCGTAAAGGGGAGGCAGAGGGGTCAGCTCCCAGGAGACACCTGGTGCTGTGTCCTATTGGAGATAGGAGAGCTGAGAAGCCTTCATCATGGAATGATCAAGAGCAGGCTTATTTTGAAATAATTCCACCTGACATCTGTGTAAAGAGTGGATTTAGCCAGACACAGTGGCAGCTACTTGTAACCCCAAGCACTCTGGGAGCTGGGGGGCCAATGCAAGAGGATTCTGAGTTGGAGCCACGCAGAGTTGGCTCAAAATTTAAAATTAAAAAAGAGACAAGGGGGAGCTTAATGTGAAGGCCTTGGGTGTAATCCCTAACACCATACATGAGACACACACACATACATACACATGCACACGAATGGATTTGCAGGGAGTGAGTACACATGTAAGAAAATCACTCAGGACATTGTCGCTGGGGCCCAGGAAGAGGGCATGGCAGGAGTAGGAGCCAGATGATTATCCTTCGGTCTAACAACTGATGTTGCCGATGAAGCCATTTCAAGTTGTAATAAGAAATTTCACCATCAAATTTAAGATTCTGCTTTTTTTTTCCAATCAAGTCATGGTGTTATGGAAGGAGACGGCAAGTGACACACAGAGGCAGCAGAATGGAAGCAAAATAAAAAAGTTTACTCCATCAATGGGGATCGATCACACCTAATGGCGGTGCCCTATTCGACTCCTCCATTGGGTTACAACCCTTACTTTTATAGGGTTTTACAGCTTTGATCTTACTCAGTTGGTTACATTGAATTTTCACAGATACCCAAACCATGACAGCAAGGCAGCTGAATTCCAACCCGGAAGCAGTTCTTTGTCAGGGAAGTTACCTTTTAGATTCATTCAATTGCCTACTCTAGCCAGGGGGAAGGGATGTTGTTTGATTAACAAAGCTAGCAATGGTTCTTTTCACTTACAAACCTTTGTGGGGAGGCTAGGTATCTCTGGTACTTGTTGATTCTGAACAAAGCAGGTTGAGGGGCAGAAGTTATCTCATATTGTGACATTTTCTAAATTTGCATTTATTAAAGTTTTCCTTATCATTGGTGCTTACCAGTTTTAACTCACTTAAAACAAAGAACAGCCAAAATATTTAAACTTTGCTTATCCAACTGGGTTATTATCTTTTCTGGTTCTTAGGTTTTGATTTTTCTTTTTTCTTTCCTAGGATAGAAAGTCAATCAGAGTTTCTTCTTAAGCCTGTCTTAAATAGCAGCATATTTCTACTAGAGACTTGTAAGTACCCTTTTTCTTCTCTCTGTAGGAAAGTAGATATTAATTTACTGGAAAGAAATGTCCTTTTTAGTAAAATGACAAAATATAGCTATGCATAAATGTAATCATTACGTATTGCAGATATGTACCAATAAAATTAAAAAGAACATTGTCAGCACCCTGAAAAAAAAATATATAGTTATACAGTCTATGTTGGCATGCAAAATTTGTGAAATCTGCCACTGCTCAAAAAAACAAAGGACACCAAGTTAGAAAATCTTCACCAAATCTTTTTATAGGTAGTGAATATTTTATTTATTCTTTGGCAAGTTGTCTTTCTTGATGTCTTTATTTTCTTGATGCCTTTTTTTCTTTTGTAAAAATATGTTTTTGTGTATTTTAGAAACTTGGTCATATCAGTGGGATGGGAGGTTAGGGAATGAACAAAGCAGAGGGAAGAATTTGTATTTTTAAAAATAATCGTATGATTTTGAACAACTTTGTATTTCTTCATTAAAATGTTTAGTGAATTCTTTGAAATTCAAAACCAGTTTTTATATCATTAAAGTCTGTTCAATTTCACCAGCTTGATGAGCTGCCAATGCTGTGTCATAACAACAATCCTGGTCTGACCGGTCAGTTCAGAAGTGGGAAATCTGAGAGATCCTTCCTGTTTCAGTTACCAAGAGTTCAAGACAAGCACACTTTTTCCCTATCAGATGAATTTAGAGAAACCATTGAGAGAAAAACCAATGAAATCCTTGTCCCCAAAATGTATCTGTAGCAATAGCATTTTATATTTTATTACCTGAAACGAAACTTAAGTGTAATGATGTTGTCAATGTAAAACTTAAAGTCTCACTTCCACTCCACGGAGTGTGAACAGCCAGAAAGGCCTCCACAATGCTGGGCCCTAACACCCGGCAAGGCTCCGGGAGCTCGAAGGAGAAATGAGAAACCCAGGAAGGAACACACCAGGCTAGATGGTAAATAGACCTTTATTAGTCTGGCCATTCGGGACTCCCAGAGCCAGGTAGCTCAGAGAGGCAACTGCTCAGGGGCTGAGGTACTTTTTATAAGGTTTTTCTAAACAAAGAGTCAGGGAATTCACAGAACAAGGCTGCAAACACATTGCTTATCTCAAGCAGGAAATGTTCTATGGTCACCTTTTATCATACCATTTGCCCCTGGGCGGGCTGTTAACCAAGGTAGCAATTAGCATATGAAAAAGCACAGTCTGGCCTATTAGCATGGAGCCACTTTAGTTTATTCAAGTCTTACAGTCAGCACATGATCAGCAAACTGAGTTCAGAGAGCAGGTCCAGGGCCCGAGGTGGCGAGAGCAAGGAGAGCCACCTCGTGTGACCGAGGTCAGGTCAGAGGCCGGGCCAGGTCTTCCACAGTGCACTTCTGGGTTCGCAGCTGTGTCTATCTGTGTTGGAAGGTTGTTGACTCAAAATAATGATAGCCTTAGGTCATTTCATGATTGGAGGAGATCCTTGAAATGCTGTGCAATAGCCGAGAGTTGTTTTATTTTGGTTAACTTATGGTGGTTTTAATGACAGAAATATTTGTGCAGTACCTAATTTATATTTCTAATTTGCTTCCTCAGCTTAGATCTCAGCAAATCATTTAATTAAAGGGTATATCATCTTTTAGTCACACATTCTATAGCAATATAGCAGTTTCCTAGCTATGTGGCCTTAGTTTTGGTTTTAACCCATCATTTACTCATCTTGTGATCTGGGGCAAGTTACTTCAGTTCTCTAATGCTAAAATGAGGATATCAATGCTTATATATTAAGAGGATCAAATGAAATATGACACAATGCTATATATATAAAACAATGAAATAAATCTTTACTGTAATCATAATTTGTCTTTATTATTTTGAAGACCTTGAAGTTTTACCCATGCAATGATTTCATTGATAAGCAGTATAAGCCATATACAGTCACCAAAGAGCCATCGAACAGCAGATTCTTGGCCATCCTCTTTGCTGTTTTCAGCAAGGAAAATATAATTTACTTGAAAGAGGTCCATGGGGCGCCTGTTGAGAAATGTGAACTAGCCTGATACAAGAGATTAGAGAAGGACTTTCGAGTTTATGTCTTCACAAAACTGTCTCGCTGAGTTTGAAATCCGACGCCACTGTTTTACAGCCTCACTGGGTCTTTCATTTTTTGACGGCGAAGCTCTGGCTGTGCTTGCCGTGTGCAGTCCAGGGATGTAGCCAGGAGTGCATGCGTGAGGTCACGAGTGGAGAGGACAGGTGTGGATGTCACATGTGTGCGTTACCAGTGCTGCTGTCCTTGCCCCACACGGTTTAGCCAGGTCGAGCAAACTGAGGGTCCAGCCTGGAACCTGCAGGCAGTCTCAGCCTGGAAGGACCTGCAGGTCTTCTAGTTCGGGCCCCTAATCCCTCAGGATTGGCCAACTCTGACCCTGCTATTCCAGGAACTGTAACACCTGTGAAGCCAATTGCTCAGCCCACTGTACGCTGGGAGCAGGGGAGCGGGGAGCAGGGGAGCTGGGAGCAAGCTGGGAGGTGCTCTGCCTCAGCTTCCTGCCTAACTGCCCAGCTGAGAGCAAGAGCATCTCCGCTCCAGCTCAGGCAGAGGAAGGGCACGACGGACTGGGCACGCACTGTCTCCACCTTCTCTTCGCTTTTTCCTCTCTACCTTAGGAAAAGCTGAGCCTCTCTCAAACTCCATGTCTGTGCTGTCCACTGAGCAAGAAAATCCTGGAGACAGGTTTCTAAAGGAAGGTGAGCCTTTCTGGGATGAGGGGTAAGCCTCAGTATTAACTGGCCGTCGGCGGGCCAGGGGGTCCTGTGTGCCACACCAGGTCTCCTCGGCTGCGGGGGGACGGTTCTGTGAGCGTGGAAGCCAGGTGCACACCTGGCAGAAGGTCCGTGAGCTGATAAACAGCTGGGCCCAGAAAGTTGAGCCCAGAGTTTTGGAACAGGTGCGCTCCCTCCCAGGACCCTTGTACCTTATATTTCAACACTTGCTTTTAAAGCTGTGCCACAGAATGCTGTGAAAATAGGTCCAGTGTAGGACACAAAGAGCTGGAGATTCCATGGACTGTTACCGTGTCTCACTTGGAATATTGCAGTTGCCTTCCAACTCACCTCTGGAATTTACCATTTCTCTCTCCCCGTCTATTCTATTTGCTTCCACCAGAACGATTGCTCTAAAATTCAGTGTCAGTGGTCGTGTTATTTCCCAAAAATGTTAAGGGCTTCCTGTTTCTATTAGGATGGACCCGATCCCTAAGGAGGCTGATGGGGCCCCTGCCAACCTACCGGCTTCATGTTGTGCTTTTCTCTGCCCGTTCTGGGCTCTGGCCACACTTGCTTTCATTCAGTTCCTAAAATGTGTTGTGGTTTCCTTTCTGTATGTAACACTACTTTTCTAGTTTTACACCAGTGCTGACTGCTTTTATTCCTTCATATCTGTTTATACTACCCATGAGTCAGATTGTGATATTCACACAACAAAAACCCCGGTACTAGGGATTGAACTCAGGTCCATGCACTTGTGAGGAAGGCCGCAGAACCACTGAGCTAAATCCCTCACCCTTTAGTTCAGAATCTTATATGAATGTGTGTTTTCTTGTTTTTTTTCCCCATCTGATTCTGTAAAAATAATGAAACTTTTGTCATATAATTGGCACACAATAGATAGTTTCCAGGAGAATTAATGAATGAAAATGATTCTGGATTAGCTAACTTATATTTGATGATTAGTTTTATAAATAACTATTTAGAATTAAAAACCTGTCTTTTACCTCTGTAAAATAAGCTGTTATATATTATATATGTAAATTTTAGTAACTAAATATATGCTTTCCCTTGATATGAGAAGTGCTTTTCCCATTCTGAAGTCAGTATTTTTCAATAAATGAAGCAGACTTGAGCAGCATAGGGTTAATGATCAAACTGACATTTTTTTTTAATTAAACCAGTTACACAAAAGCAGTTAAAACTTGGAAATGGCAGCTATAAAAGAACAACATATCCCCACTTAGTGTACCAGTGAGGGATGGAAATGCATCATAATTTGTTTCTAAATGTCATATCTTTATTGCACTTGCTAATTAAATGAGCCCAGGTTTCAGGAGCAATGCTTTATTTGGGCTTCTCCAGAGCAACCGACTGGGTGGCAGATCGATTGGTAGACAGGTAGGTGGGTAGACAGGTGACAGGAAGGGACTCATTAGAGTAATTGGCTCATGGAGCTGTGGGGCTGAGCGGTCCCACAGCAAGTGGTCTATAAGCTGGGATCCTGGGATACAGGTAGCATGGCTCAGTCCCAGTCCGAAGCCCCAAAGCCAGGGTACCCAGTAGTATAATTCTGTTTGGAACTGAAGGTCTGAAAACCCAGTGGGCTGCTGGGACAAGTGCTGTGTCCCCAGGCCAGGGAGCCCGGGGTTCTGACGTCCATGGACAGGATGGGAGGAGTATACATAGCTTCCGGAGAGGTGTCTTCCCTCTGTGTTTTGCTCTCTCTACGGCCCCTGGACGATTAGATGTTCCTGTCCACAGTAAGAGTGGACACACACCAATCTCTTCTGGAAATGCTCAGTCCCACGCCACAGTATAATGCTTGTCAGGTTTCTAGGTATTCTGTGACCCAGCTGCATTGATCCCTAACGTTAAGCATCACAAGTGGTATTTTACTTTTTCCTCAAGAATGATTTCAACCCTGTGACTACAGCATAGGAAATGAGGTTGGGTAAGGCCTTGGGAAGGCAGTCTTAAGTGGTGGTCAGCTCTCAGTGGTCAAAATTATCTTCTTAAAGATGGAATGGACCCTAGCATGGGGGATTGCTGCAATCCTGTCTCTAGATGGGCTACTGAGGCCATTGGGATCGTCTGCCAACTGTGGGCAACCAAGCCTTTCAGTGTCTAGGAGCCAAATGAGGAGAATAGATCAGATATGCACCAAACAAGCAAAAACATTTTTATCTCGAGTAGCCTACCATTCTATGTAAAAGAAGGCAATTAAATATCAGTGGAAGAAGGTTTAAGAGTTGGAGAATGAAGTTATGGTTGCACAGGGAGGGTGCAGGCCACTGGGGTCATAATTTCATTATACAGATCCATGTTTCCCCACATTACCGTCTTGGTCTCCAAAAATTTCCTAAAATCACAAAGCCATGTATTTGTGTCTACATAAAACATGGTCACAATAGGCCTGCACACTGCCTCCAGTGTATTTAGGTTGTTGTTATAAAAATAAGAATTATTTTTTAAGTATTTAATTCATAAAAGCACTTTTCATTGGTCACACATTTTCTCAATCAACAGATTATCTAAAACGTTTAGATTTGTCAACTTGAGGGGCTATCTTACCATGAACACACAGCTGTGGCTCCTGCACCGCAGGACGGTCTTCTGTGTTACGCACACTCAGTGCTCCTAAGCCCTCTTGGGTCCTGTGATACTGTCTTGAGTTCTACCTTGAGATCTCCTTCCGCCAGTTCCTGCTGTCTCCTGAGGCTCCTTCATGCTGTTGCGTCTTCTATCTCAAGATCATGCCCAGGGCTCTCCCTTTTTTGCACAAGGCAGAGTTATTACTAGGATGGTTAAACTTGGAACATAGGTAACTTTACTAAGGCCTTGAGGACACCATGAAGAGTTAGAATTGAATATTCAGTGTCACTGCTAGTACTCCCTTAGCTGTGTCCATTCACCGGGGTCCCAGACTTTTGGTTTATCTTGCTGCCTTGTTTGATGTGTCTCCCAGGAGGTGTCGGTTATGTCCTGCCTGCCTGGAATCCTACTATGCTCACAAGTGATCTGGTGTTATAAAATGGGCTTTATTCCCTAAAACACTGCATACCATAGTTGTCTTATCTGGTGGAGTAAGTCTGGCCCACAGGTCCAGGGACAGAACGTCTAGACTGGATTTTGAAATTACCAAGATGTTCTGTCAAATTTGTCTCCTTTTTACACCTTTGAAATCAGGACCTTGTTTTGTTTATTAACTACGCAATAACTAAAGTTCTTTCTAACTTCAAAATTTGTAGATGTCAAAGGTGGCTCATGTGTTCTCTCTTTTTTTTTCTTTTGCCCTAATTAGCATTAATTAGTTGAACTTTGAGTCAATTCTATTAAATTGTAAAACTGGAAAAAGAATTGGGATTAGGTGTGGCAAGATCAGATACAGGTCTTTTGTGAGGAACGTATATCTGTTTTGAAAATAAGTCTATTGAAACATTTGTATATATTTTAAAATTCTGAATATGTATTTCTTAATTTCCCCCACATGCTGAACTGTGCAGGTCATTAAAAATGTGTGATGAAAAGTTCATCACTTGCCCCAAAGATAGACACTGACAGCATTAGGAGCAAGTGCCTGTGTTTCCTATTCTTAATCTAAGAAACAGAAATCATCAGTAAAATTAAGGAAGAAATTGTGCAAAAAGTGCAATTTTTAAAGGTCTAAAATTCTATTTACAGAATAGAATCAGGCAAATACGAGAAACAGAGATAAGAATGCCTGGAATTATGTTTCCCAGATGAATCTGGAGGAAAGATTCAGAAGGGATTGTCTACAAGAGAAGAATCTTGGGCTCAAAAGAATTTACCCATGTGTCAACATGGCAACAAAATGCCCTAGAGAAACCAATGCTTCTGAATAGAGAAATAGTTAACGCATATTTCTGCTATGACTGGGATGGCTTATGTTAGATGGAAAATACATTAAAACGTATGCACAGGGCTTTCTGCTTGGGCCGCCTCAGGTCACAGAGGCTCTGCTGGACTCCAAGGAGACCACAGTCTTAACATGGTGGCTGGAGACGTCTGGACAGCGTTTGTAGTTACATGTCCCTGTAAGTCGCTTGTGTCCTCAGTCTTGAAGGGGGATGACACAGGTTAAGTAAATTTATGGATAATCATTCTGTGTCACCAAATTTTAGACAGATGCCCCCTAAATGACGGTGATACCTACAGATGCAGTGCTGAGCTGGGGTCCGACCCAGGAATAAATGAGACAGACAGATGCAAAGTGAAGACCAAGCTTTGCTCTTCTGTTAGTTACCCACGGGGCGTCTGCAGGCCCCTCCATTTTCTTTTTTTAAGCAGAAACAGCCTTTGAGTCTTCAGTTGCCTCAGAAGAAAACACAGTCATGTTTCTAATGAGTGACAGATTCCAAACCCAGGAGTGAGTTTGTCCCTGGTCCCTGTGGCGGTCCCTGACTGTCACCAGCTGAGGTTTATAAACAAAACGGTGGAACACATTGCTCTAGTTCATCTGGCACAAAATTAATTTTCAGTAAATAAGCTTCGTATCTACCTTATTTCCTCCTGTGTTTCTCCCTGTCTCTCCCATTAGGACTTTTAAAAATATACATATTATGAGCTAATTTGGTTTACTGGAGTCTGTCAGTCTCCAGTCTGAGACACGTGTTTTCCAGAACTCAATTTTTAGGTTCTCCTTTCTACAATTTAATGAAACATTAAGGTGCGAAATGTGGTTCTTTGTGGAGTAGCACCTACAAAGAGGAGTTCATTTACTTTGCCTGGTGTCAGGATGTAATATGACTATATTAGCAAAGCTATAAAGGGAGAACACCCAAAGTTTATTTTAAAAGTTTGAAAGGAGCCAGTGTTAGAGCAGATGGATGGAAAAGAATGCCTGATCACTTAGCAGCCACTGAGCTAAGAGGGACATCAGGCCAAGGTGTACATCCCTGGAAGAAGGTCATCAAATCCTAATTATAGTTTTCCATAGTAAAATCACACTGACTGGTGTG